TGGCTCAGTCAATTAAGCATCTCTTAATTTCGGCTCAGGTAGTGATCTCACAGTCTGTGAGTTCAAGTCCCGCATCAGGCTCTGTGCTGACAGTGTGGAGCCTGCTTGGAATGCTCTCTTCCTCTCTCTCTGCCCCTCCACCACTCATGCTATCTCTCTCAAATAAGTAAATAAATAAATAAGCGTCTCTGAAAATAGCTGGCAAAAAGCCATTTTCACACCAGAGTGTTCCTACTGGATCTGTGCCTTTTGTGTGTAGCACTAAAAGAGCCTCCTTCCCCTCCATAATTTATCGAGGGAAGTCTTTCTTGAACTTTGGACTGAATCTCATTGTGGTCCTTTCATCTGAGGAATTGGGTAACAGCTCACAGCCTCCTCCTGGTATCAGTAGTGAAGTGTCCATATTGTCCATAAAAGTTCCTGCTGCTTCTCAGAGCATCTGTACGCTTAGAGATGAGAAAATGAGTTACACTGAGTTTTGAAAAGGAAAATATTTTGATATGCTCACTTTCTTGTGTGTCTCCAGTTCACATAATCATTTCACATGTCGACGTATACCCACAGGAAATTGGGCAGTAGGCCTGAAGGCCCCAGTGGGTTCTGCTTCCCACCCCTGGTTTTCCTGTGTGATTGGTTTTGTTTGAGGGCCTACTCTGGGCATTTGCCATAAACAACTGCTTGCATCCTCTTAGCCTACCGGTGGAGAGAGATGGGAAGAGATGGGCGGTGGTGAGGTGGTATTAGGCAGGAGTTAGCGGTCAGGGTTTGAGGAGAGATCATGCCTTTTTCCTGAGTTTTCCCCTGACTCTGCCATCCTGGGAGAGAGGTTCTTGATCCCTTGTGAGACCAGGAGAAGGGCATAAGGTTCCCCATCGGCAGAGCCCAGAAAAGCAGTGGAACTCCCTCCACTGCGGACATGGCTTGGAATCCCCTGCTCAGCACAGGACAGGCATGACCCGCTCTCGAGGTCTTGGGAAACCGAGACACTGAGCACTTACTTGGTTCACGAAGGTGCATCAGCCCATAACTTGGGTTATTCGCAACACAGAGCCTCTCCCTACCTCTGTGTTGCCCTGTTGTCAGGTCTTTTCTGCTTCGCGGGTGTTAGGGATGTTTGCCTTAGCTTGCATTGTTCTGCATAAAAATACCTGTACTCGGCAGACTGGCCTCAGAGGACTTACCTGTCAGGCCCTCTCAAGGAGAGTGCCGGATTCAGAACACGGTTCAGGCCCACATGCCACCCCCACCTCGTCAAAGCGATCTCAGAACAGGCATGTCTGTTTCCCTATTTACGGGGACCAGGAGTGGCTCAGGACTGTGGGGATTGTGTGATCCAAATAGAGGATGCAGTGGACCACCACCTGCACAAGGGTCAGTGGCCAAGGGCCCCTCCTGCCAGCCAGTGTTGCCAAAGATCGTTGCTGTTGCTTTCGAAGGACAGGCCTCTTGCTTCCGCATCTCTTTGGCCTTCTGTTTCCTTTGACAAGTGTCATGGGGAAGCAGGCAGAAACCACCGTTAACTCCTGCCTCGTGCACATCTGGGGGTGAGGCCGCCGGGCATTAGGTAAGGCAGCAGGAACGCTGCACTGACGTCCCTAGAGCACAGGGGAGCAGGTCCCCCATCCCGAGGAAGAGTGGAGAAGGGGAGGAGACGGTTTAGCCTGCAGCGGGGCTTTATTCTGCTTTTGGCCACACTTTCCACGAGGCTGTCCCCACAGAACCGTCAGGTAACCAGCAGAAGAGAACGTCTCCTTCCTCTTCCTCCTGCCCCACAACTACCTTTGACCTGGCATGTGGCTTAGCTCAGATGTGCTTCCTGCTCCATAAGTCTACTCCTGGTTGGTCCTCGCTGACACCTTTGCTGAAGGTCAGAAGGGCTTAACTCTTGCCAGGAAGGTGAAGACATCTCATGTTATCCTACAGGGCTCCCTGAGCCCCCCTAGGCCCAGAGTACTCCCTTTGAAACTAAAGAATGTCAGTAGTGCAAGAGAAGTGTGACTGCCCATTTCTGCTCCTAACTGCTAACAGCACGTATCCCAGTTAACTCCTTTTGTAAAGTTCTTAAGGGTGTTTTTTTTTTTTTAATCAAAAATTTTTAATTTTTATTAGAGCTCCGTGCCCAGCACGGAGCCTGATGTGGGGGCTTAGTCCCACAACCTTGAGATCGTGACCTGAGCCAAAACCAAGTCAGACGCTTAACTGACTGAGGTCGTGACCTGAGCCAAAATCAAGAGACGCTCAACTGACTGCACCCAGGCGCCCTTTAAAGGTCTTTTTCGCTGAGACTTATTTGAAGTTTCTGTTGGGATTATGTCTTTATCAGCAGTGTTCTCAGCCGGTGGCAGTCTTGCCCCTCTCCCCCCATATCCCAGGACATTTGGCAACGTCTGGAGACGTTTGTGATCATCCCAGCACAGGCACGAGGCTGGGGAGTACTAGAACCTAGTGGGTAGAGACCAGGGATGCTACTAAACATCCTACAATCCACAGGACAGCCCCACAACAGAAGAATCTGGCCCCAAATTCCAACAGTGCTCAGCCAGAGATAGACCCTTGACCCTTCATCTCAAGACCTTCAGGTATCACTGAATTCAAAAATGCCTCTTGTACTGTTACAAAACTTTTTGGCAAAGAACCGTCACTTTCCCTCTCACGAGAACCTTCACCAAGGCCATTTTCTATAAAGAAAAAGGGTCTACCCTTCATATGTGTTCTTGCTTAGAAGGGCAACATGCGGAGAACAAAGCTGCAGGGAGAGATGTAGGAACACGGTTCGACCTTGGTTTAATCCTTCTGGGATCTGTCTGTGTGATCACACTGAGACCATGGTGTTTACAACGGGACAGAGACTGTGAGGCTTACGTTAGAGAGGACCTCGCCAGGTCCAATCAGCTCAGCCAAGGATTCCTAGCTGGAGGCTGTGTGCCAGGCACCCTGAGAAGCGACACCGGGACCTCAGTTGTAGCAATGGGGAATGGATGAGTACACCGTCGAGAACCAGGACATAGGAAGTATTCTTGCTCTAGGGGTTCAAAAGTGGGGAGCGAGACTGGAAGGGCTTTGTGGGGGAAGCAGCGTTTGCGTGTGTCCAAGTGCTGGGTGGGATTTGAGGGGCCGGTGGCCTGTGCCAAGTGTAAACAGACTGTGAGCAGAGCTCTTTCCCGTCTGCAGGATGCCTTCCTATCCAGCACTCAGATGTGCACTTAGCACCTGCCTAGAAGCCTGTCCTTCCCTAACCACTGCCCGGCCCCTTATCCCCCAGCTCTATTAAAACAGCAACGACAACAACAACGCTGGGAGAATGGGCCCCAATTTGTGTGATAAAAAATTCAGTACATGGTTGTTTTAGAAAAATTTTCTAAATACAGAGAAGCACAGGGTGCCTGGGTGGCTCAGTCAGTTAAGTGTCTAACTCTTGATTTCATCTCAGGTTGTGATCCCAGGGTCATGGGATCAACCCCCACATCAGGCTCTGCGCTGAGCATAGAGCCTGCTTGGGATTCTCTCTCTCCCTCTC